CTATAATCCCAGCAACTAGTGAGAGTGAGGTGGGAGGATCACTGAGGCCAGGAGTTGGAGATCAGCCTGAACAACACAGTAAGACCCCATCTCTAAAAAAAATAAATAAATAAATTTGAGGCTGCAATGAGCTATGATTGCACCACTTCACTCTCAGCCTGGGCGACAAAGCAGAATCCCATCTCTAAAAATAAAAATAGAAAATAAAAATAAATAGTCCAGAGAACAGAATACACATACACACAGAGATACAGATAAACCAAATATGGCAAAATATCAGCAATTGATGAATCTAAGAAGTGGGTGTACACATTTATTTTCTCTGTAATTTTCTTTAAACTTTTTTTATATTTGGAAAATTTTATAATAAAAAGTTATGAAGAAAATAAGATGGTTTAATTGACAGACGGATGGATACATTAATTAATACATGATAAAATTAATACAGTAGGTTGTAAATAGTTGAATGTAGATTACTGTGCAACTTTTAAAACTTTTTTGTATATCTGAAAATGTTTGGCCGGGCATGGTGGCTCATGCCTGTAGTCCCAGCACTTTGGGAGGCCGAGGTGGGTGGATCACCTGAGGTCGTGAGTTCAAGACCAGCCGGACCAACATGGAGAAACCCTATCTCTACTAAAAATACAAAATTAGCCGGATGTGGTGGCACATGCCTGTAATCCCAGCTACTCGGGAGGCTGACGCAGGAGAATTGCTTGAATCTGGGAGGGAAAGGTTGCGGTGAGCCAAGATCGTGCCACTGCACTCCAGCCTGGGCAACAAGAGCGAAACTCAGTCTCAGAAAAAAAAAAAAAAAAGAAAGAAAGAAAGAAAGAGAGAGAAAGAAAGAAAAGAAGATGTTCATAAATAAAAGAATGGAGGAAAAGCTTTAAGAAAAACTTAAAAAAAAAAAATCTAGCTTGGTGAGGTGGCTCACACTTGTAATCCCAGCACTTTGGGAGGCTGAGGTGGGCAGATTACCTTGCCTGAGGTTGCGAGTTTGAGACCAGCCTGGCCAACATGGTGAAACCCCATGTCTACTAAAAATACAAAAATTAGCTGGGTGTGGTGGTGGGCACCTGTAATTCCAGCTACTTGGGAGGCTGAGGCAAGAGAATCTCTTGAACCCGGGAGGCAGAAGTTGCAGAGAGCCAAGATCACACCACTGCACTCCAGCGTGGGTGACAGTGCAAGACTCTGTCTCAAAAACAAACAAACAAACAATATCCTTTTCTATGTAGAAAACCCAAAATAGTAAACAAAAAAAACTTTCTCCTGGAACTAATAAGCAATTATAACAAGGTTGCAAAATACAAGATTAACATACAACAGTCAATCTATTTCTTATATGCAAGCCATAAACAAGTGGATTTTAAAGTAAAAACACAATACCATTTACATTAGCACCCTCCAAAAATGAAATAGTTCAGTATAAGTCTAACAAAATAAGTACAAGATCTATATAAGGAAAACTACAAATTCTAATTAAAGAAATTAGCCTGGGCATGTCTCATGCTTGTAATCCCAGTGCTTTGGGAGGCTCAGGTGGGAGGAATGCTTGAGGCCAGGAGTCTGAGACCAGTCTGGGCAATATAGCAAGACCCCATCTCTAAAAAAAAATTTAGCTGGGCATGGTGGTGCACACCTGTGGACCCAGTTACTTGGAAGGCTGAGGTGAGAGGATCACTTGAGCCCAGGAGCTTGAGGTTACAGTGAGATATGATCATACCACTGCCCTCCAGCGTGAGCAATAGAATGAGGCCCTATCTCTAAAAATCAATCAATCAATCAAATAAATCAAAGAACAAAATAAATGGAAAGAATCCACGTTCATGGATAAGAAGACTCAATATTGTAATGTATCAGCTCGTCTTTGATCTACATATTCAATGCAATCCCTGTCAAAATCCCCGTAAGTTATTTTTTGGATACTGACAAACTTGCTCTACAGTTTATATGGAGAGGCAAAAGACCCAGAATAGCCAAGACAATATCGAAAGACAAGAACAAAGTCAGAAGACTGACACCACCCAACTGCAAGACTTATTATAAAGCTACAGTAATAAAAAAGTGTGGTGTTGATGAAATAGAGCAATAGAACTATTCAGTTCTATCGTTCAAAATAGACCCACAAGAATATAGTCAACTGATCTTTGACAAAGGAGCAAAGGCAATACAATGAAGAAAAGATAGTCTCCAACAAAGAGTGCAGGAATAATGAATATCCACATGCCAAAAAAAATGAATCTAGACCCAAACCATATACCCTTCATAAAAATTAAGTCAAAATGGATTACAGACCTAAACATAAAATGCAAAACTAGAAAACTCCTAGAAAATAACACAGGAGAAAATCTAGGTGACTGTGGATATGGTGATGGCTTTTCAGATACGGCACAAAGGCATGGTCTATGAAAGAAAGAACTGATAAGCTAAACTGTGAAAGACACTGTCAAGAGAATGAGATGACAAGCCACAGACTGGGAAAAAGTATTTGCAAAAGAAGGATCTGATAAAGGACTATTATCTAAAATATACTAAGAATTTTTAAATTTCAACATTAAGAAAACAAACAACTTGGTTTAAAAATGGGCAAAAGACCTGAATAGACACCTTACCAAAGAAGATATACAGATAGCAAATAAGTATATGAAAAGATGCTCATATGTCATCAGGGAATTACAAATTTAAAACAATGACATACCACTACATACCTATTAGACGGGCCCAAACCCAAAAGATTGACAAAATCAAATACTGGCATAAATATGGAGCAGCAGGAACTCTCATTCATTGATGGTGGGAATGCAAAATGGTATAGCCACTTTGGAAGACAGTTTGGCAGTTTCCTACAAAAGTAAACATATTTTTACCATGTGATCCAGCCATCATGCTCCTTGGCATTTACCTAAATGAAATGAAAACTTATGTCTACACAAAAACCTGTACATAGATGTTTACAGCAGCTTTATTCATAATTGCCAAAATTTGGAAGCAACCAAGATGCCCTTCAGTAGGTGAATGGATAAACTATGGGTCATCCAGACGATGGACTATTATTCATTACTAAAAAGAAATGAGCTATCAAGGCATAAAAAGACATACAAGAAACTTAAATTGCACATTATTAAGTGCAAGAAGCCTATCTGAAAAGATAACATAGTATATGATTTCAACTAGATAACATTCTAGAAAAGGCAAAACTATGGAGTTTTACTTTTTTACTTTTTTTTTTTTTTTTTTACAACCAGTAAAAAGATCACTGGTTGTCAGGGGTCAGTGGGAAGGGAAGGATGAATAGGTAGAGCACAGGGGACATTTTGGGCAGTGAAACTATTCCTTATGATACTACGATCATAGATGCATGTCATTATACATTTGCCCAAACCCACAGAATGCACAACACAAAGAGTAAACCCTAATGTGAACCATGGAATTTGGGTTCTAATAATGTGTCGATGTAGGTTCATCAGTTGTAACAAAGGTACCACTCTGGTGGGGGATGCTGATGATGGAGGAGGCTGTGCATGTGTGGGGACAGGGGGTATATGGAAACTGTATATTTTCTGCTCAATTTCGTTGTGAATCTAAAACTGCTTTGAAAAACAAAGTCTACTAAATCAGTCAATTAATCCTTCACTATTTCACCATCTCCTTCACCTTACAGTGAAATCAAAATAACAAACGGCTGCAAGGCCCTGTGCAATCTGGCCTCCCTCCCCATTCCTGCCTCCCTCCCTCTTGCTTAGTCTGATCCAGCCATGCTGGCCTCCTTGCCAGCTAGAATGCCAGGCACACTGCACCTCAGGGCCTTTGCACCTGCTGTGCTCTCTCCCAGGAACACTCTTCCCCAAGAGAGCCTCCCTGGTTCCCTGCCATCTTCCTTCAGGTCTTTATTCAAATGTCACCTTCTTCGTGAGGCCTTCCCCATTACTCTAATTAAAAATGCAGCTTTTGGCCGGGCGCGGTGGCTCAAGCCTGTAATCCCAGCACTTTGGGAGGCCGAGACGGGTGGATCACGAGGTCAGGAGATCGAGACCATCCTGGCTAACATGGTGAAACCCCGTCTCTACTAAAAATACAAAAAACTAGCCGGGCGAGGTGGTGGGCGCCTGTAGTCCCAGCTACTCGGGAGGCTGAGGCAGGAGAATGGCTTAAACCCGGGAGGCAGAGCTTGCAGTGAGCTGAGATTCGGCCACTGCACTCCAGCCTGGGCGACAGAGTGACTCCGTCTCAAAAAAAAAAAAAAAAAAAAAAATGCAGCTTTGGCCGGGCACAGTGGCTCACACCTGTAATCCTAGTGCTTTGGGAGGCCAAGACAGGAGGATCGCTTGAGTCCAGGAGTTCAAGACAAGCCTGGGCAACACAGCAAGACCCCACCTCTCCTAAAAATTTTAAAGAATTAGCAGGGCATGGAGGCACGTACCTGTAGTCCCAGCTACTTAGGAGGCTGAGGCAGGAGATCACTTCAGCCTGGGAGTTCGAGGCTGCACTGAGCTATGGTCCTACCACTACACTACAGCCTGGGTGACAGAGTGAGACCCTGTCTCTAAATTGAAAAAAAAAAAAAAAAAATTGCAGCTTCCCCCAACCCTTCCTATTTTCTTTCTTGCTTTATTTCTTACCAGAGAGTTCTTAACCATCTAACATACTATGTATTTCACTTATTTCATTTCTTGGTCTGCCTCCCTCCCACTAGAATGTAAGCTCTGTGAGGGCAGAGATTGTTGCTGTTTTGTCTACTGCTACACCTCACTGCCATATCATAGAGCTCAGCACTTGGTAGGCTCTCAATATTTATTGGATGAATACATGAATAGCTTATGGCAAGTTCACTCATGCTTCCAAATATTTGCTGTGCTGTTTTCTTTACTTGGAATGACATTCGTCCAAGTTCAGGAGAAAAATCCTACTCAGCTTCCAAAATTCAGCTGAAGAAACCCTCTTCTGTGAAGTACACTCTGACCCTAGGCAGACCAGGTAGGAATCTCTTCTCTGAATTACCACAGTCCCATTATACTTCTCGTGGTCCCTTATTACAGTTTTCTGTAATCTGTATGGCCCCTTAGAAGGTTTGTATTCATCCTGTATTCAAAGGACCTTTGTACCTGGACTATAATCGCAGGCACTCAAAAGCATTTGTGAAATGAAATAGTAAATGAATGAATAACTTAGATAAAGCAATTAATATGTAGCTTAGTGTGAAGGCATTTAGTATGTACATAATTTAAAGAAGACACTTAAAGATACTCCTATGAAAGTCCATTTGATATTAATACTTTTTATTACACCTTACTCAAGATACAAGTTAGTGACTAATGATACACAAAGGTCAAGATAATTGCTTAGAAATTAACGTAAAAGGCTATGTTTGCTTTCATGTTTCTTTTACAATATTTCAAGAACTTTTTTTTTTTAACTTTACCTGCTATTTGTGTTTCCCTATTCATACTGGTTTAGCCTAGAAAGTATCACCGTGGGTGCTAACGACTGGGCAGATTTGGTCAACAAAGCATTAATGGCAAAAACCACTGAGGGAAGGGGTGACCTGGAACAGACAAAAATAGCATGGGTCTATATCACATACGAATTACGTGTGTGATATATATATATAGATAGATATATATATATAGATATATATATAATCTCCATATATACAATTTGAATCTTTGAATCAAGAATCTCTTTGTGTATGAAGTCTTCATTGATCCTAAGTAGACAATAATAAAAAGAGTATAGTATTATAAAATATTAACCTTTTAGTTATAAAGGATTATAAAACTAGAAAAACCTAACTCTTTTTGTAAATTTTTTTTTACTTTAAGTTCTGGGATACATGTGCTGAACATACAGGTTTGTTACATAGGTATAAATGTGCCATGGTGGGAAAAACTTAACTCTTTTTCTTTTTTTAGAGACAGGGTCTAGCCATGTTGCCCAGGTTGGTCTTGATCTCTTGGCCTCAAGCCATCCTCCCAACTTCGCCTCCCAAAAGTACTGGGATTATAGTCATGAGTCACTGTGCCCGGCCAGAACGTAAGTTTTTTTTTTTTTTTTTTTTTTTTTTTTTAGACAGGGTCTTACTCTGTCTCCCAGGCTGGAGTGCTGTAGCACAATCTCAGCTTGCTGCAGCCTTGAACTCCTGAGCCCAAGCGATCCTCCCACCTCAGCCTTAGCTGGGACTGAGGGCACGCGCCACCACACCCGGATAATTTTTGTATTTTGCTGGGGGGATGGGGTCTCTCCGTGTTTCCCAGGCTGGTCTCGATCTCCTGGACTCAAACGATCCTCCCACCCTGGCCTCCCAAAGTGTTGGGATTATAGGTGTGAGACACCATACCTAGCAGAACCTAACTCTTAGATGAAGAAACTAAGATCCAAAGAGAAGACACAGCTAATCTCTTACAGGCCTATTAAGTGAGCGCTATTTGTGCCCTGTACTCTGTTATGGGCTCTTATTATTTCATCTAAATCCCACGACAATCCCATGAGTGAGATATTACCAGCTCTGTTTTAGAGACGGGAAAGCAGATTAACTCATCCACAGTCACACAGCTAGTACATGGTAAAACTGGGATTCATGCCTAAGTTTTTCTGACCAAGTTTTATTATGCACTACTTTAATGTATTCCTGATAATAATCCTCCATATATATATATATTTTTTTTTTTTTTTGAGACAAAGTCTGGTTCTGTCGCCCAGACTGGAGTGCAGTGGCGCGATCTCGGCTCACTGCAACCTCCGCCTCCCAGGTTCACACCATTCTCCTGCCTCAGCCTCTCAAATAGCTGCGACCCTATAGTCCGCCACCACGCCCGGCTAATTTTTTATATTTTTAGTAGAAACGGGGTTTCACCGTGTTCGCCAGGATGGTCTCGATCTCCTGACCTTGTGATCCGCCCGCCTCGGCCTCCCAAAGTGCTGGGATTACAGGCGTGAGCCACTGCGCTTGGCCTCTCCATATACATTTTTAAATAATCAGGTCATATAAAACAAATCAAGTGCATTGACTGCATAAACTGAAATCTTGTCACATTTCAACTAATGATGGAAACCTTGCAACTCAGGAGGAGAAAAAAGAAGACAATGGGAAGGAGAGAAAAGAAGAAAGAGGGGGAAAAAATAAAAGACAAGGTCTGAGAATTAGAGGAAGTTTAGTTTAATGGTAAGAGCTTGGGTTTGATTATCTGTTCTTTAGTCTGCTGGTTACATTAACCAGAACATTGGGAATATTAATTTCTGCAAGGTCTTAGTATCATGAAAATGGGATAACTTTGATTGTCTGACAGTATAATTGCTGTCTATCTCCCCAACCAGACTATAAGGACCACGAGGGCAGAGGCTAAGTCCGGTTTTGCTCACTAGTTTTTGTCTTCTCTGACATGATGAGTGAGACAGTTGGCTCAAGCAAAAAAAATAATTTTTAAAAGAAGAGACAGTAACCATTCCATTTTAACTTAACTATACTCATTCATAAATCTTTTCTCTGGGTTTTTCATTGAGCATAGGTCCACTAATGAAAGTGCTGGGTCATCTTTCTTGTATAAACAGTATCCATATTACAGGATAGACAGTTTCTACTTGTCAGTTATAAAGAGAACCTAAAGTCACTTATGAAGCAAACTGAGTACCAAAATATCTTTAGACTTCTATGACTTTCCCCAAAAAAGTTTAGATTCCACTGCACCAGACGTGATAGTAATTGTCTACAACTCAATTTTTTCTTTCTTTCTTTTCTTTCTTTCTTTCTTTCTTTCTTTCTTTCTTTCTTTCTTTCTTTCTTTCTTTCTTTCTTTCTTTCTTTCTTTCTTTCTTTCCTTCTTCTTCTTCTTCTTCTTTTTTTTTTTGTATGTTTTCTAGGCTGGTCTCAAACTTCTGGCCTTGAGTAGTGCTCCTGCCTCAGCCTCCCAAAATGCTGGAATTACAGGCATGAGCCACCATGCTTGGCCCTACAACTCAATGTTGAGTCTTTCTAAAGCATTCAACTTAATTTTCATAAAAGTAACTTTCATTTCACATATATATTTCCTAAGTTTATAAAATATAAGCGCAATTAAATTTTGCAATTACAGTAACAAGTACATCTGACATTAATAGATTTGAATTTAAAAACACTACCCTTGGTAATGATACACTGAATCATGGGAGTAGAAAAGTACAGGTGTCCTCAAGAGTAGCCATTTGGTCACAAACCTACTGCACACATGTGAATAAGTACGTTTTAGAGCAATGGTCTCCAACCATTTTGGCACCAGGGACCGGTTTCATGGAAGACAATTTTTCCACGGACCAGGGGGGTTGGTCTTGAGATGATTCAAGTGCATTACATTTATTATGCACTTTATTTCTAATATTATTACAGACCGGTACTGGTCTGTGGCCTAGGGGTTGGAGATCCCTGTTTTAGAGAGAAGGAAGAGCATCAGATAACTTGGAGAGTTCATTACAAGACCTACTGTATTGAATCCTCAGCATTTACCACATCGCCTAACACAAAGGAAGAAATCAATAAATATTTGTCAAGTCAATAATATCTACCACTCAAGGCTGCTGCAAGACCTGAATGAGCAAACAGCCATACAAGCTCATTTGGACACTGGCATTTGGTAAATGTTAATGCCTTTCCCTTTTTCACTGTTCAAGACATTTTATTTATTTGTAACCTATCTAATTCAAAAGAATTTGAAAGGTGAAAAATGTTTACTAAAGTTGTTGCTTGTTTATGTATTCATTCAAAAGAAGGAGTTCTGAGCTAGTCAGTTTTCCAGGTACAAAAGAGATAAAAGTGAAGACAGGGCCCTGGACTACACCCTGCCTATCACCCAAATAAGAACTTAGCAACAAAATCCTGCAACAGGAAAGGAATTATATGAAGAGAAGTCCGGGTAGTTGGCAAATCTTTCCTCAATTTAATTTGCATTAAAAATAAAAGAGGGGGCTGGGCGCAGTGGTTGACATCCATAATCCCGGCACTTTTGGGAGGCCAAGCAGGAGGATCGATTGAGACCAGGAGTTCAAGACCAGACTCGGCAACATAGCGAGATCCTCATCTCTACAACACATATATATTTAAAAATTAACTGGGCGTGGTAGTATGCACCTATATAGTCCTAGCTACTCGGGAGACTGAGGCTGGAGGATCCCCTGAGCCCAGGAGTTTGAGGCTGAAATGAGCTATGATCACACCACCACACTTCAGCCTGAGCAACAGAGCAAGACCCTGTCTCGAAAACAAACAAACAAAGAGACTTTGCAGTATAAATGTTTTGACAGAACTAATAAAGAATGTGCCTCTGTCTGGCCGGGCGTGGTAGCTCACGTCTGTAATCCCAGCACTTTAGGAGGCTGAGGTGGGTGGATCATCAGGTCAGGAGTTTGGGACGAGCCTGCCCAATATCATGAAACCCCATCTCTACTAAAGTTACAAAAAAATTAGCCAGGCATGGTGGTGCGTGCCTGTAATTCCAGCTATTCAGGAGGCTGAGGCAGGAGAATCGCCTGAACTTGAGAGGCAGAGGTGGCAGTGAGCCGAGATTACACCACTGTACTCCAGCCTGGGCGACAGAGCGAAACTCCATGTAAAAAAAAAAAAAAAAAAAAAAGAATGTGCCTCTGTCTTAAAATAATACATTCCTCTCTAATATGCAAAATAGGACACGTATGAGAAAATATTTGCCAATCAAGTACATTTTATAGCTGATCTAAAGTGCTTACAATCATACCAAAGAATAGAACCTCTCATCATTGGCATAGGCTTTTTCAAGTAAGAAAGGATAAGATGGACTTTGATTTTTAATTTTAATTCTTGCAATGTCACAGAGTAAAGGTCATTTTGCCCAATCATCCCATGTAATAAGGCATATTGCCATATGTAGAACATACAGCTAACTGAGATTCCACTTTGGTTTCTGAGATTTAACCGTGTTGTAATATTGGCTATGTGAACCTGAGAAATGAAAAACTGTGATGTCCTTTTGGAAATGGGGAAAAGTTGCCCAGGGCAAACAAGCACGAATATCTGATTATATTCTGCCCCCTGGTTCCTAGCGATGCCTCTTATGATTGTCTTTCAGATATATGATTTGTAGTGGCAATATAATTGAGGTATGGAGACTGATAGGTCCTGCCTACATGTGATATTTTGTAGCTAACATTTGAATAAATATACTTACTGCTGATTAAACTTCATTACTGAAGTTTAATCTGCATCAACCATGTCAACTAGTGGCAGGGTAAACAAGGAAACCGAAGCTTGCACAATAACCCTAGAAAAAATGTTAAAACACATATGAGAATTTTACAACTAGGAGGCACAGCTTTTGTTAAAAAAGAATAAAATGAAAGTTGACATTTGATTTGCAAGAAGATAAGAAGAAATGATATACTATAAAAGTAAAGCTATATTAGACATACACTTCTATCCTCCCAAATATTATATATCTGTGAATATATAATTCTCTTTTAAAAATGTAATAACTGCTTTCACTTGGGAATTTTAAAAATGATTTTTATGCTTCTTCCTCATTCCAAATGACTAAACTCATTTAATCTGCTTAAATTATTAATAGATTCTAAAGGACAGGACATGCCGGGGAAATTAATCACACAGACATCTTTCTCTTGATATCAGAAATAGGATACATTACGAACTGAGAAAGGGCATATAGCATTTTAATTATGATAGAAGAATAAAAATGAGGGGGATGGTTTAAGTGAAAAAAGCAAACAAAAATTTTCATTCTAAAAATTATTATAAAATATCATTTTACATACTATACAGCCAGGGCCACCCTTACAGACTTACAGAATAGTTATCTATGTAGGGTTCTAATGTCTTGAAGTTTCACAGGGATTCAGTCATTTGAGTCAATTAAAACAGTCTCCACTACCAGTTTGTTCAAAATGCAAATACGCCTTCATGAAAATTTTCTCAAGTTGTTCCAGCAGGGACCTGAATAGAATTTATAATTCATTCAACCAAAATGAGTGGCTCACGCCTGTAATCCTACACTGGGAGGCTGAGGCGGGTGGATCACTTGAGGTCAGGAGTTCAAGACCAGACTGGCCAACATGGTGAAACCCTGTCTCTACTAAAAATACAAAAATTAGCCAGGCATGGTGGCTGGCGCCTGTAGTCCCAGCTACTCGGGAGGCTGAGGCAAAAACAAAAAACAAAACAAAAACAAAAACCTTTTCTTTTTTTTTCTTTTTTGAGACAGAAACTCACTCTGTTGCCCAGGCTGGAGTGCAGTAGCATGATTTCAGCTCACTGCAGCATCCACCTCTTGGGCTAAGGTGATCCTGCCACCTCAGCTTCCTGAATATCTGAGACTACAGGCATGCACCACCACACCTGGCTACATTTTTATTTTGTGTAGAGACAGGGTTTTGCCATGTTGCCCAGGCTGGTCTTGAACCCCTGGGTTCAAGTGATCCTCCCACCTCAGCCTCTCAAAGTGCTAGGAGTATAGGCATGAGCCATTGTGCCTGGCCCAAAACACATTTTCTAAGGACCAACTATTTGCAGGAACCGCAGTAGGTAATGGGCCACAGTGATAAGAGACTAGACCCTATTCACAATAAACTCAATCCAGTGGGGACCATAGATAGTCGCAGGTAGAGGGAAAAGCACCGCAGCAGAAGTAAGCATAGGGCACTGGAGTCATATAGGAGGGCCACCTAATCCAGATGAGGAAATCAGGGAAGGCTTCCCAGAAAAGCACACACCTGAACTGTGGCCTAAGACACATGAGGACAGAGCCAAGCAAGAAATGGGGAACAACCCCGTCTCTACTAAAAAAATACAAAAAAGTAGCCGGGCGAGGTGGCGGGCACCTGTAGTCCCAGCTACTCGGGAGGCTGAGGCAGGAGAATGGCGTAAACCCGGGAGGCAGAGTTTGCAGTGAGCTGAGATCCGGCCACTGCACTCCAGCCTGGGCGACAGAGTGAGACTCCGTCTCAAAAAATATATATATAAAAAATAATAAAAATAAAAGAAATGGGGAACAGTTTTCCAGGCACAGGGAACAGCATCTTCTAGACACAGAGGTGTCTGAACCAGGAACTGCAAAGTATTTCTGTGTGGCAGAGAGTACAGTGTAAGCTGAGGAGTAACAAGAAATGAAGATGAAGACTGGGCACAGTGGCTCACACCTGTAATCCCAGCACTTTGGGATGCCACGGTGAGCAGATCGCTTGAGCTCAGGAGTTCAACACCAGCCTGGGCAACATGGCAAAAACCCATCTCCACAAAAAATAAAAATTAAGCTGGGCATGGTAGTGCACACCTGTATTCCCAGCTACTTATGAGGCTGATCACCTGAGCCTGGGAGGTGGAGGCTGTAGTGGGCCATGATCGTGCCACTGTACTCTAGCCTAGGCAACAGAGCAAGACCCTGTCTCAGAAAAAAAAAAAAAAGAAATGAAGATGAAAAGATAAAGAGGGACTATATAACCAGACATCATATGTCATCATTTCGAAATACCCTGAAAGCAGTAAGAAGCCACTTAAGATTATTAAGCAAAGGTACTTGGGAGGCTGAGGCAGGAGAATGGCATGAACCTAGGAGGCGGAGCTTGCAGTGAGCTGAGATCGTGCCACTGCACTCCAGCCTGGGTGACAGAGTGAGATTCCGTCTCAAAAAAGAAAAAGAAAACAAACAAACAAAAAAGATTATTAAGCAGAGGAAGAGCATGTTATTCTAGAAGCAATATGAGAGAGGGAGTTGAAGAGACTGGAGACTATAAACTAGGGGTTCATACGGGAAGACTGTATCCTATTCCATGTAAGAAATGAGCTATAGGAATGTCAGTGGAACTGAGAAGAGATGGATTCAGGGCACATTAGGGAGATAAAACTGCTGACAATTAACAGTGTGTTGGACCTAGGTGTCAAAGAAGAGAGAAAAGGCAAAGACAACGTCTCAGTCCCTGACTTGAGAAACCAGATAGATGGCAGAGCCATTTCCGGAGACGGCAAATAATGGCAAAAGAGCAGATTTGGCAGCAAGACCCTTGATTTGGACCTGTGGAATTTGAGATGCCTATGATGGAGGCAAAGTGGGTGCTTGTGGGAGGGGGAGAGGTTGCAGAACTAGGAGGAAGAGTTGAAGGAGGAATAGAAGGTCAGCCTCTTTTATACATGGCAGCAGTATTTACTAAATGCTGTATTTTTTTGAGACAGGGTCTCACTCTGTCACCTAGGCTGGATGGAGTGCAGTGGTGCAGTCATAGCTCACTATGACTTGAATTCGTGGGCTCAAATATGATCCTCCTGCCTCAGCCACTGGAGTAGCTGGGACTACAGCCATGTGCCACCAAAAAATTTTAAAATTTTTTGTAGAGATGGAGTCTTACTCTGTTGCCCAGGCTAGTCTCAAACTCTTGACCTTAAGCAATCCTCCCACCTTAGCCTTCCAAGTAAATTTTTTAATAGGTTAAAAAAAGTAAGTTTACTACAAAATTTAATGTATAAAATTCCTTCAAAAAACAAGCCGTTAACATTCAATTTGTCAGAAAGGTACAATGACCTTGCCTAGAAATGAATATTAAACTCAGTCCAGATCAAAAATATTTCACTGCTTGAAAGGGCAAACGGTAAAATTTAGTGTAATTTTGAGACTGGAACCAGCATTTACTTACATGATAATAGTGAGATAAAGAGCCAAACAGTAATAGTATTGCTTTCCCAGGAGTAACATGACAGTGGAGGCTGTTCCTTGTAGATAGAAAGAAATTAAGATGATCTTATAGTAACCAAACTTTTTCAGCCAGGACTGACTGATAAGTACAAGGCACTGAAACGGAAACAGAATGGCATTGTGTTAAGATGGAACTCCATGCATTATTAAGCTTACTCACTCTTGCTGATGACAAAATAAACGTTCTTATTGCAAAATAAATTGCTGGCGGTGACCCATGCCTATAATCCCAGTAGTTTGGGAGGCCAAGGTAGGAGGATTGCTTTAGCCCAGGAGTTCATGACCAGCCTGGGCAACATGGTGAAACTCTCTCTCTACAAATAATACAAAAATTAGCTGAATGTGGTGATGTACAGCTGTAGTCCCAGCTACTAGGGAGGCTGAGGTGGGAGGATTGCTTCAGTCCAGGAGGTTGAGGCTATAATGAGCTATGATCATACCCACTGCACCCCAACTTGAGTGACAGAGCAAGACCCTGTCTCAAAATATACATAATAAATAAATTTGCTTCTGAATTATAGTATCAATTGAAACACACAACTAAAACTATCTTGCTTAGAAATGCCATTATTATCGATATATATCAAAAATTGATTATGAATAATAACTTTTCTTTTTTGAGACAGTCTCAAATCTGTCATCCAGGCTGAAGTGCAGTGGCATGATCTTGGCTTAGTGCAACCTTTGTCTCCCAGGTTCAAGCATGCCTCAGCATCCTGAATAGCTGGGATTACAGGCAAACACCACTGTGCCTGGCTAACCTCTGTATTTTTAGCGTTTCACCATGTTGGCCAGGCTGTTCTCAAACTCCTAGGTTCAAGTGATCTGCCTGCCTGGGCCTCCCAGAATGTTAGGATTACAGGTGTGAGCCACCACATCTTGCCTGAAATGTACTTTTTACCCCAAAATCAAGCATCAGAGGAAAACAAGAGTTAGCATTCTGGGTTACTGTGTCCTGCCTAACTTTATATATTTTTATCATTATAACACATTCATTTTAAGAGCTCAGACGTAGATTTTTTGCATTTCTTGCTATTAATGAAAAAGTTCATTGTTCTAGACTGAAAAGTTTATGCTAAATATACATATGTACATTAACAAAGATCAGAAGATACTCTTTGTTTTCAATAAAAAAGCACACATTGTTTATCCCTGAAAAGTTTTCACTAACCAAATGTATGTGCATTATAATTAGAAGAGAATTTTGAATGATGTAAGTAGAATACAGATGTTCTTTAGTAAACATAAGGGTTTTTTTCCCCTGACTGATTTTTTGACTTACTTTTCTACTTGTAAAGAACAAGAGTTCATTTTCTGGACACTAAAAAACAATGGATCAGTGACTGATGTGGTCCAAGGCATTTCTTAGAGTTCTGTAAGAGGAAGTATGTAAAACACCCCAACAAGTCCAATTATATTCTTAAATATTATTATAATATTATAAAGTAACACATTCCCACATATTGAAATGCAGCTGCTGTTTCTCCATCTCTAGTACATAAACATACAAAATACAAGAAGTTAATAATGTAAGAAATATGTGGTAGAGTGGAATGTGCAAGATTTTTTTAAAGACAAGGTCTTACTACATTGCCCAGCCTGGTCTCAAATTCCTGGGCTCAAGCGGTCATCCCAAGTAGTTGACTACAGGCATGCACCACCATGTCTGGCTGGCCGGGCGCGGTGGCTCAAGCCTGTAATCCCAGCACTTTGGGAGGCCGAGGCGGGCGGATCACGAGGTCAGGAGATCGAGACCATCCTGGCTAACACGGTGAAACCCCATCTCTACGAAAAATACAAGAAAATTAGCCGGGCGAGGTGGCGTGCCCCTGTAGTCCCAGCTACTCAGGAGGCTGAGGCAGGAGAATGGCGTGAACCCGGCGGGGCGGAGCTTGCAGTGAGCTGAGATCGCGCCACTGCACTCCGGCCTGGGGCACAGAGCAAGACTCCGTCTCAAAAAAAAAAAAAAGAAAGAAAGAAAGAAAGATTTTGAAATCAGATGTCCCTAGATTTAAATTCCAGCTTTGCCACTTTTACCAGCTATTTCTTCATAGAGAAGTTACCTTACCTAAGAGGCATTTCCCCCACCAAGACAAACTTTCTCTCTCTCTCGCTCTCGCTCTCACTCTCCCTCTTCTCCGTTTCTCTTCTCTTACCTAGCACCATACTCAACATATAAAGTACTTAATAATTGGTAGCTGTTTTTCTTGTGTCCAATATATAAAAAGATATAAGCCAATGATGAGTAGTATTACAAAAATCATGAAAGAAAAGAGAAAGACTGTCTTTTTTTTTTTTTTTTTAACTAAAATAAAGGCTTCTACAAATGAAAGATTTTGGCTCTCCATTCAACAGTGTGTTCCAACATAAGTGTTGGCAAACCTATGCCGACATCAAAACAGAGGGATAAAGGCAGTGCCGTGCTCACAGTGAAAGTCTGGTATCTGCTGCGTTGAGATGGCTGTACATAATAAGAGCTAACATTTCTAGAGGGTTTATTGTGCCAGGAACCGTTTTAAGTACTTTGGATGTTTTAATTCATTTAACCTTCATAATACTTTCCTTAGGTAGGCACTATGTTTTTTTGTTGTTGTTGTTTGTTTGTTTTTGAGACAGGGTCTTGCTCTCTCATCCAGGCTGGAGTGCAGTGGCACAGTCATAGTTCCCTGCAGCTTTGACCTCCTGGGCTCAAGTGATTCTCCCACCTCAGCCTCCCAAGTAGCTGGGACTCCAGATGTGTACCACGATGCCTGGCTAATTTTTAAATTTTTTGTAGAGACAGCATCTCACTAAGTTGCCCAGGGTGGTCTTAAACTCCTAGGATCAAGCGACCCTCCCACCTTAGCTTCCCAAAGTACTGGGAGCCATTGTGCCCAGTCCCGTAGGTACTATTTTGATCCTTATTTTACAGATGAGGAAACTGAGGCACAGAGAAGTAGAGTAACTTGCCCAGGATTGCACAGCTAGTAAGTGGAGAGCCAGGCTCCTCCTGGGCAGAGTACAGATCCATGCTTTTAAACCAGTTACTCCTCTGCCTCTCTGGGGAGTGTAATGTGGAAGAGTGACAGACCTATACCAACAGTTATTAGGGAGACAGAACATTTGTTCATCCTTTTCTCCTTTATTTATTCAACTCCTCAAAAACAAAGCCAGCCTGAGACTGGGTGCAATGGCTCATGCCTATAATCCCAGCACTTTGGAAGGCCAAGGCAGGCGAGTCACTTGAGGTCAGGAGTTGGGAGACGAGCCTGGCCAACATGGTAAAACCTCATTTCTACTAAAACTGCAAAAATTAGCCAGGCGTGGTGGCACATGCCTGTAATCCCAGCTACTTGGGAGGCTGAGGCAGGAGAATTGCTTGAATCTGGGAGGCAGAGATTGCAGTGAGCTGAGACCACGCCTCTGCACTCCAGCCTGAGTGACAGAGTGAGAGTGTCTCAAAAAAAAAGAAAGAAGAAAGAAAGAAAAGCGGGGGAGGGAGGGAGGGAAGGAGGAAGGAAGGAAGGAGAGAGAAAAAGAAAATGAAAACATAGTGCTCACCTTCATTATTTTACCCAATAAAGTGTTAAAGAGACTTAGCCAAATAAATAACAATAAAAACAGATTCCAATGAGCCGTCATTTTTTTTTTTTTTTTTTTTTTTTTTTTGAGGCAGAGTCTCGCTCTGTCACCCAGGCTGGAGTGCAGTGGCACCATCTCGGCTCACTGCAACTTCCACCTCTCAGGTTCAAGCGGTTCTCTGCCTCAGCCTCCTGAGTAGCTGGGATTACTGGCACCTGCCACCATGCGTGGCTAATTTTTTGTATTTTCAGTAGAGACGGGGGTTTCACCATCTTGGCCAGGCTGGTCTTGAACTCCTGACCTCATGATCCACCCACCTCAGCCTCCCAAAGTGCTGGGATTACAGGCAGGAGCCACTGCACCCGCCAAGCTGTCATTTTTTACCACAATAATTTACACGTGTTAATTCTCTAGAAATTAAGAATAAATTTAAAGCAACTTTGGATTTTCTTTTATTTTTTGTAGAGACAGGGTTTCGCCATGTTGCCCAGGCTAGTCTTGAACTCCTGGGCTTAAGCAATCTGCCTGCCTCGTCCTCCCAAAGAGCCAGGATTACAGACGTGAGCCACCACGCCCAGGCTTACATAAGAATTTAACAATTTTTTTTCAACCTGGTGAAGAGGAGAAACTATAGGCAAGTACTATACATGATTCAAAGTAAGAAAGTATATATAGCCTAGAATCTGGTAGCAAATAATAAGCAGAGACAGGAAATCAAACAGCTTCCCATTCTTGGTGGTTAAACAGAGGAGCAAACAGCCTGACAAACTTCAAATTGCTTTGAAAGGAGAGCATCATTTTATCATGCACACACAGTACCTGGACTATATTGACAAGCCAGACATGAAATTCCATTTGGTATGCTCTGCTAAATAAATGATGTAAGCATAGTACATTTTAGAGACAGAATCTTAAAGTATACAGCTCTAAAGGTACCACCTCCCTTTTCTCATCTATAAGAATAAGAATCTCTTCCTCCAAGATTGTTATGAGGATCACATCATGTAATATACACAATGCACTTGGCAAAATAGCAGACAGGCAAATTCTATTCTATATACTTTACTTAAGAAATTGTGGTGGGCCGAACACTGTGGCTCATGCTTGCAATCCCAACACTTTGGGAAGAAAGGAGGACTGCTTGACCCCAGGAGTTCAAGACCAACGTGGGGAACATGGCTGGTCTTGATAAACACTGTCTCTACAAAAGATAAAAAAACTTAGCTGGGCATGGTGGTGCATGCCTGTGGTTCCAGCTACTCAGGAGACTGAGGTAGGAGGAAAGCTTGAGCCCAGGGGATCAAGGCTGCAGTGAGCCATGACTGTGCCACTGCACTCCAGCCTGGGTGACAGAGCATGACACTGTCTCTAAAAAAATAAAGAAATAGGCCGGGCGCGGTGGCTCAAGCCTGTAATCCCAGCACTTTGGGAGGCCGAGACGGGCGGATCACTAGGTCAGGAGATCGAGACCATCCTGGCGAACACGGTGAAACCCCGTCTCTACTAAAAAATACAAAAAACTAGCCGGGCGAGGCGGCGGGCGCCTGTAGTCCCAGCTACTCGGGAGGCTGAGGCAGGAGAATGGCGTAAACCCGGGGGGCGGAGCTTGCAGTGAGCTGAGATCCGGCCACTGCACTCCAGCCCGGGCGACAGAGCCAGACTCTGTCTCAAAAAAAAAAAAAAAAAAAAAAAAAAAAAAAAAAAAATAAAGAAATAAAAATAAATAAATTGTGGCAACACTTAAAACATTTTAGAACTATTTCTATCCCAAATGGCTTAATGATTTTTGAAAGCTGGTAAACAGTAAAAACTAGTCTATCTAGAATAACCTGTTACCTGAAGAGTATTGCTAAGATGTTTTGCTTATCATTTGTGAAAACAGGAAAAACCTATATCACAGGTGAGGTAAAGCCATATTTTTAGAGGACATATTTAGGTTAAAGGGAACAACATATCAGCTCTCCAAATGGTATAATAAGCAGCAGACCAGTATATTTTTTGAAGAGGACATGACCTCTACAATAATGGTCATGACCATGGAATTTTAATAGTGCTCTGAAATTCCAGGACTCAGGCTTTTAGCCAAGTGTTTTGAAACTTGACCAACTAACTCTTCTTCCACGTGATAGTCACAGAAATCTTAAACACCCAAATAAAGCAAAACGACATGCTCACGGGAAGCTGTTTTCTTCCATAGTTCTGCTGAGGCTTAAAGGAGAAAGCTGAGAGGAACAAAATTCCACAGCAAAAATGTTTAAAATATCACATTGTTCAGTTCTCACTGGGGTCTCTTTCCTTTTCCCCTGTTGTCTTTTTTTTTTTTTTTGAGACGGAGTCTTGCTCTGTCACCCAGGCTGGAGTATGGTGCGATCTCAGCTCACTGCAACCTCCGCCTCCTGGGTTCAAGTAATTCTCCTGCCTCAGCCTCCTGAGTAGCTGGGATCCGCCACCAAGCCCTGCTAGTTGTTGTATTTGTAGTAGAGACAGGGTTTCACCGTGTTGGCCAGGCTGGTCTCAAACTCCTGACCTCTAGTGATCCACCCGGCTCAGCCTCCCAAAGTGCCGGGATTATAGGCATGGGCCACTGTGCTCGATCTTGTCTCTTTTTTCCATTATGTTTCTACTGAATCTTGTATGCTATCTGGAGCTCTGAATCTTTGGGTCTTTTAATAACTGTGTGTCGGATGGGTGCGGTGGCTAACGCCTGTAATCCCAGCACTTTGGGAGGCCGAGGCAGGCTGATCACAAGGTCAGAAGCTCGAGACCAGCCTGAACAACATGTTGAAACCCCATCTCTACCAAAAATACAAAAATTAGCCAGGTGTGGTGGCGTGCACCTATAATTCCAGCTACTCAGGAGGCTGAGGCAGGACTGAGAGGGTGAGTGTTGCAGTGAGCTGAGATCACACCACTGCATTCCATCTTGGGTGACAGAACGAGACTCCATCTCAAACAAACAAACAAAAAACTGTGTGTCACTTTTTAAAACTACTGATGAAATCAGGTTTCTAATATCACCCAGCTAAGAGTTAAATCTCTAATCCCTGCAGGAAAAATTATCACAAATTATAAATCATAGAGAACATAATTATAACAATTATAATAATCATAAAGATCATAAAGAACATAAAGAACTATTACAGGCCGGGCGCGGTGGCTCAAGCCTGTAATCCCAGCACTTTGGGAGGCCGAGACGGGCGGATCACGAGGTCAGGAGATCGAGACCATCCTGACTAACACGGTGAAACCCTATCTCTACTAAAAAATACAAAAAACTAGCCGGGCGTGGTGGCGGGCGCCTGTAGTCCTAGCTACTCGGGAGGCTGAGGCAGGAGAATGGCGTCAACCCGGGAGGCGGAGCTTGCAGTGAGCTGAATTCCGGCCACTGCACTCCAGCCTGAACGGCAGAGCGAGACTCCGTCTCAAAAAAAAAAAAAAAAAAGAACTATTACATACCTGTGGGCAAATAAAGCCTGCCCCCTACATAATGCTCCTTATGGAAGAAGATAGTACATCTCTGAGAATGAGAATATCTGCAAAGATCATCATGAAGTTGCTGAAGAAGGTTAAAGACTCGAAAGAAATTCATGATCAGAAAAAGGTAAAAGTATTTCTGGGATAAGATCTGTCTCACGGATAAAATGATAGGAGTCCAGGTGAGATCCTGTTCAGATTCCAAGAGGAGGTTCTCTTTGGGGTTTCTTTTAGGTTCAAAACACCTCACATGATACATCCCAGCGTAAAGGCTGGCAGTAGCAAGGAAAGCAATGACAATGGCAACAGCCTGGAAATGGGGCAAAATTTCCATGTTATTAGAGATCGGGCGACAGAAGAGGATACCGGTAGAGCCTAGAAGTGATGCCACTTGGTTAATTTTAATAAGCTGAAGCCAACTTTCATGTCTAGTGAAAATCTCTGCAAACAGTTTACACTGGGCTTGTTGGACACAGGTGAGCGTGCTATCAAAAGCACCTAACGATACCACCAGGTGAAGTCCACTAAGCCAGTCACCTTCTTAATAGTATTTCCAAGGAAACCACAGGAGCAGGAAGGCTACTGCATAGAAAGGGACACAGTACAAGACAGAAATATGACAACTTGAACAGCATTCGGCCTTAGAGTTGTTGGGAAAATATCCAGTCAGGTCATTAAGAACATTCCATATCATTAAAATTATCTAGGAAGAAAACAAACACACAGGATTATTTCAGTGTAGTAGAATAAACTACTGCACTCAGTATAGGACAAAAATGACCCCTGATTTTTTTTTTTTTTTTTTTTTTTTTTACTTATGTGAAATAACCAAAGGTGATCAGTAGAAAAGCTAATTGTTTTCAGAACCAGCTAAAAAATTTAATAACAGCAAATACTACTCAAAAGCCAATGTGCATTCACTTTGTTTTTTTTTGTTTTTGTTTTTGTTTTTTTTAGACAGTCTCGTTCTGTCGCCAAACTGGAGTGCAGCGGCACAATCTTGGCCAACTGCAACCTCTGCCTCCCAGGTCCAAGTGATTTTCCTGCCTCAGCCTCCCAAGTAGCCGGGATTACAGGCATGCACCACCATGCCCAGATAATTTTTGTATTTTTAGTAGAGATGAGGTCTCACCATGTTGGCCAGGATGATCTCGATCTCTTGGCCTCGTGATCTGCCCACTTCAGCCTCCCAAAGTGCTGGGATTACAGGCGTGAGCCACTGCGCCCAGCTTGCATTCACTTTGTATTCAGGCATTGTATAAGTGTTTACATTCATTATTTTATCAAATCCTTAAAAACCCTAGCCAAGCACAGTGGCTTATGTCTGTAATCCCAGCACTTTGGGAGGCCAAGCCAGGAGAACTGCTTGAGCCCAGGGATTCAAGACCAGGCTGGGCAACATTGCGAGACCCTATCTCCACAAAAAAAAAAAGAAGAAAGAAAAAAATTCTCTTTTTTTGAGACAGAGTCTTGCTCTGTTGCCCAGGCTGGAGTGCAGTGATGCAATCTCGGCTCACTGTAGCCTCTGTCTCCCAGGTTCCATTATTCTCCTGCCTCAGCCTAGTGGGTAGCTGGGATTACAAGCACATGCCACCACGCCTGGCTAATTTTCGTATTTTTAGTAGAGATGGGGTTTCGCCATGTTGGCCAGGCTGGTCTCGAACTCCTGACCTCAGGTGATCCATCCGCTTCAGCCTCCCAAAGTGCTGGGATTATAGGCATGAGTCACCATGCCCAGCCAAAAAATTATTTTTTATTTAATTAGCCTGGCATGGTGGCATGCACCTGTAGTCCCAGTTACTTGGAGACTGAGGTAAGAGGACTGCTTGAGCCTAGAAGGTCAAGGTGCAGTGAACCGTGATCATACCACTGCACTGCAGTCTGGGTGACAGAGAAAGACTCCCATTACAAACAAACACACAAACAAAAAACAATCCTTTGAGGCAAGTACTATTATTACTCTGACTTTACAAATGAGAAAACTGAGAGCCAGAGAAGTTAAGCAACTTGCCTAGCTAATAAACAACAGAGCCAGGGTCTAACCCAAGGTAGATGACCCCACAGCATGTGCTTTCAATTTTGTGCTAGACTGCCTTCCAACAACAGCACACAGGGCCATGCCTCTGCAAAGATTGATGGCCTGTTTACACCAAGGCATAGTTTTACATAATTTCATTAGGAAAGGTTAAAATATCAATGTTTGGCATTTCGAATTAAATCTAATTAGTATGTTATTACTGGTAATAAATGAGTAACATTACAAAATATAAGGGTTTTAAAACCATGAACTCTTCTAGCCTGACCACCTAATTGGTAATGACTTACAATACAATTTGTGAATACTGCGGGCCTTTTCAAAACAGAATATTTTAGGACTGGGCATGGTGGCTCATGCTTGTAATCCCAACACTTTGGGAGGCTGAGGCAGGAGGATTGCTTGAGCCCAGGAGTTCGAGACCAACCTGGACAACATAGTGAGACCCCTATTTCTACAAAAAAAAAAAAAAAAAAGCCAGGTGTGGTGGCTCACACCTGTCATCCTACTCAGGAAGCTGAGCCAGGAGGATTGCTTGATCCTAGGGAGGTCAAAGCTGCAGTGAGCTATGATTGCATCACTGCATACCAGCCTGGGCAACAGAGCAGTCTCAGGAAAAAAAAAAAAAAAGAGAGGGACGGAGACTGGATATCTTCGTAATAATACCGATTTTTCCACATAAATTAATTTTCCAGACAACCTAAGCTTACTCTTTAAATTCTAATACCTTTACATTTTAAATAACAATCTTTTAAAAATCTCTCTTTCCAGCTGGGCGAGGTGGCTCACACCTGTAATTCCAGCACTTTGGGAGGCCGAAGTGGGTAGATCACCTGAAGTCAGGGGTTTGAGACCAGCCTGGCCAACATGGCAAAACTCTGTCTCTAGTGAAAATACAACAATTCACCGGGAGTGGTGGTGTGGGCCTGTAATCCCAGCTATTCAGGAGGCCGAGGCAGGAGAATCACTCGAACTGGGGAGGTGGAGGTTGCGGTGAGCTGAGATCGTGCACTGCACTCCAGCCTGGGTGACAGAGCAAAACTCTGTCTCAAAAACTAAAATAAAAAATAAAAATCTCTCTTTCCCTCAAAGGAAGGAGATCTGTCCTATGTGAAAGGACAGTAAAGATTCCATCTCACCTGGGTTTGAGAAAAGGCCACTTCTGAAATCGTGTACAGATGTAGAAAAAGTTTCACATGGTAGAAATCAAAGACAGAATTCAGCATTTCAGTCCCTAATGTCATCATAGAGTATGCCCAAGCAATGGGTTTGATATTTAAAAGTGCCATTTTCCATGCAGAGGAACTCTTCTTCCCTTTGTTAAAAAAAAAAAAAAAAAAAAGGTTAAAATTCACTGCTTGCACACAGTAGTGGATGGGGGCCAAAACATTTCTGGCCAGTACTTAATTTTAGTTAAATAAGAGTCCAAACCTATGAGCTGTATGTCCCCAGATTTAACACCTGACTTCCTTATCTATTCACTCAATATTTTTTGAGATGCTCGCCAGGAAACCTAGTTTGCATAGAGTGTGACTCCACTTATATTTTTATCTATCTCTTCAAACTTATAAAGTGGGATTTCAGCCTGGCCAACAGGGCAAAACCTCATCTCCACAAAAATACACAAAGTAGCTGGGCATGGTGGCACACACCTGTAGTCCCAGCTACTCAGGAGGCTGAGGCAGGAGAATTGCTTGAACGCCGGAAGCAGAGGTTGCAGTGAACTGAGATGACACCACTACAATCCAGCCTGGGCGACAGAGCAAGACTTCACCTCAAAAAAATATATAAAATAAAGTGGGATTCATCCAAGAGCTTGGACATGATTAACTAGTGTCAAGGAGATATGTTTATGCCATTATTATCCTCCCTACTTGGTAGGGTGCAACAGAAACAGAACAACAAGGTGACAGCCTTTTGCTCAAGTCAAAAAGAAAGTAAGCCCCTCATCTTAGTATAAAGTTGTTCATTCAGTAGTACAGACTTGCATTTGAAGACTTATTCTTGATATTCTGTAGCTTTGACCACAAGGACGTAACTACAATGGATATAGAAATAACACACTCTGATCCTTGATGAGATCCTTGTACGGGCCTCTCTTAAATCTAGCCTATCGTCTTACCCTTTGATTTTTATAAGTGGAAAACAGGAAAAGGCTAACCCAGCAAGAGAAAGGCATAGATTCATCTTCCTTTCAATCTTGACTATAGTTTAAAGAGAATACCATGATCTTTCTGTTCTATTCCTGGCTTACTTGAATATTTGGCCAGGTCTCTGCATCTTACTGAGTCAGAAAACAGAAACAAATTCTGATAAGTCAAAGGATGTTACTTGCTTGAGTAATCCTTGGGCTTCTGTTTTAACTTTGTAGATCCAGGAACAGAATTAAGCAGGCAGTTCGGTCTACATTGCCAAATTTCTTAGGGAAAAAGAGGGCAAGTCAGAAGGAAGAAGTGGGCATTTGGCTCAAATGACCAAATTATTTACGGTCTCTACACTTCACTTTGCACCAAGTAGACTCAAGAATGATTATAACTCCGCTGGGTGTGGTGGTGCAGACCTGTAGTCCTAGCTATTCAGGAGGCTGAGGTGGGTGGATTGGTTGAGCCTAGGAGTTTGAGGCTGCAATGAGCTATGATCTTGCCACTGCACTTTAGCCTGGGCAACAGAACAATACCCTGTCTCAAATTAAAAAAAAAAAAAAAAAGACTAATTCTATGAGTGGCAGGGTCCTAGAATTATCAAAAATGGGTTATCAAACCCATATGCATACCAAGCATTGTCTACAGAATAAAGAATGTTTTGTCCACATGTGTACTTGTATTCTTAAAATGTTTGTAGCTTCTGCTGTAATGATTAAAAGTACAAATCTGATTGTTTTCATCATGATGCAGTTCCCAAACACTTCAAAACTACTATTGTGTGGAGACCAGCCAACATTTTTGACTTTAAAAGTAATTCTCAGATTTCAAAATGCTGGGAACTACCAGTGAAAACTTCACTTTAAGTTCATCCCTGAGAATGAAGACTGAGGCTAGAGGTTGCTTGGTTACTAAAAGAGTCAAAAATAAGGGAGACAGTAGAACCAAAAGCCAAGACACAAATTTAGCCTACCAAAACCTAGGGACTCTTGTTTTTCTTAGTTTTATTTCAGGTATGCTAAAACAAGAAGCATGCTGCACCTTTCTAATCTGATCTATCATTATGTCGCATGGCAGGTATTTGTAAACTTACAATTCTGCAAAAGGCCATAAGCTTTCTGAGAGTTGAATTCAATTTTTTTTTCAAAGATTTAAGTTAAGTACCCAGCCTGTCTGAAACATAAGAATATAAGGTTTTAATCGCACTGTGAAAAACTCTACAGTCTGAACTTCTTGGCCAGGCACGGTGGCTCATGCTTGTAATCCCAGCACTTTGGGAGGCCGAGGTGGGCAGATCACTTGAGGTCAAGAGTTTGAGACCAGCCTGGCCAACACAGTGGAATCCCGTCTCTACTAAAAATACAAAACTTAGCCAGGTGTGGTGGCAGGTGCCTGTAATCCCAGCTACGTGGGAGGCTGAGGCAGGAGAATGTTTGAACCTGAGAGGTGGAGGTTGCAATGAGCCAAGATCGTGCCACTGCACTCTAGCCTGGGCAACAGAGAAACTGTTTCAAAAACAAAACAAAAACAACAAAACAACAAAACAAACAAAAAAGTCTACAGTCTGAACTTTTCTTTGTTTTTACACATTGTGTGAAGTAAAAA